GCTATAAGATAGTCGATGTAGCAACACTCCCTTGTAACAGCAAGCTATAAGATAGTTGATGTAGCTACACTTCGCAAAACAAAAACACCATTATTAAAAGAAACCTTTCTATTCATTATTATTGTGATTTTTTTAAAAAACGTTAAAATTTAATGCACTTCTGCTTTAATTACAAGGAGGGGAGGGGGTGGTAAGAAATAAAAGAGGAGGGGAGGGGTGAGAATCGTAGTCCAGATCTAATAAACAGGAGGGGAAAGGGTTTAATAAAAGGAGGAGACTGATAGTGGCAATATACATATTTTTTATAAAAAAATTTCACTTTGTAAATATTTTTTACAAAAAACGCATTTAAAAAACGCATTTTCAAATTATTTAAATCTTGTGTGGCCTGCAGTAAATTGTGCATTTTCTAACAGCTGTTTTATAATAGTTTCAATGTTTCATAGATATGTTGATATAAGTTTTATAAATGCAAAACCTTTGTAAAAACGCCAATACATTGAGTCAAGACATTGACATTTTTTTTTGAGTATTGCATATAATGCTTGTTGAATAGCTATCTACAACTGCTGTGCATTAGTTGAATTAGCAGCAGAAACTGTTTTTTTAACGTCTACTCATAAATTTTCAATGGGATTTAGGTCAGGTGACTAAGGAGGCCACTCCATCATCTCAACTCCATTGACCTGAAACCACTCCTTAGCCCTATGACTAGTGTATTTCTGGATGTTTTCTTGTTGGAGAACCCATTTTAGCGGTATTTCTTCAACAGAATAGGGCAGCATGATATTATTGAGGATATCCACATATATATGGGTTTCCATGATACTATTAATCTTATTAATAGGCCCGACATCATTATATGAGAAGCAGCCCTATACCATGACATTGGCTCCACCTTGTTTTACAGACTTATATTTTTTATATATGTTATATTTTTTCTAATATTCTGTATTAGCTGGATGTCTTACATATTGTCTTGAACCTGTACCTACATAAAGAACAATTTCCAATTCTTCTGTCCATAATATGTTGCTCCACTCTTTAATGGCCCAATTAAGATGTTGGTTTGCGAACTGCTAACGTTTTTTTTGAGATTTTTAATACAATTCTATGTAATAATGTGGCTTTCTGAAGCTTTTAGTGACACATGTAACTTTAGTAAATGATGTCTTTTTAGAGACCAAAAGCCTCAGAGTTATCTTGTTTCATTTCAGAAACAAATACCTGTTTTTTCCCATGACTCTCATTGTTCATCTCAAAGACTTTATCTGAAACCTGTGGTACCTCTCAGAGAGGCTGATTCTATCAAGAGCTGTAAAGTACCAAAGTTTTAATGATGCCTTTAAAAAAAAAGATGCACAAAGCAACTCAGACATTGTCAATTTCAAGATGTTCCTGAGTCATCTTAGTATGAAAACTATAAATTAGAGGTCATCAGAAACTTTAGAATAGTTTTCTTCAAAATGATTTTTCAAAACTTCCTTGTTTTCAGTGCTTCTTAGAAAGCCCTGACACTGAGGCATGCTATCACTAATAAAACTGGCAACAAACAACTAAGTTTTGAGTTAGCAAAAGCAATGTAAAGTGGCAGCCAAGATAGAACCTCAAAAACTTTTTTGCCACCACTGCACATCAAGTTAAGCCTTTTTATGCAGTATTTCAAAGTTACTCAAAAGGAGTTTACACTTTTTAATAAAGATAAGACAAAATGTGACAAGTTATCCAGAGAACACTTATGTTGCAATCGTTCATGGCTTTCAGGGTAATAACAAAGTTGAACACTTAAAGTTCATTTAAACTATCATGTCAAAATTGGATGCAGAATGTCACTCAAGGCTTCTGTCCTTGATACCCATCTTGATAAAATAAAGGAGAACATGTGAACTTACTCAGAAGATAAAATGAGTGCTTTTACTAAGATAAATTAAATTTTAAATGTTTTTATTTGGTGCCAGTATAAAAAAATATGATATAGGACATCTAGAGGCTACTTTGTTAGGGTTACTTACAGTACACATCTAGAAAATCAGGTTAATGGGTTTGCTGCCAGCTACGAGTATACGCAAAGTAAAAATAACCTATTTTTTGGCCAACTACGAGTATACTCAAAGTAAAAAAAGCTATTTTTTGGCCAACTACAAGTATACTTGTAGAATGTGTTAATAAAAAATTGGCCAATTTTGAGGATACTCGTAGTTAAACTAACATATTAAAATTTTAATTTTAACAATGTTTAGTTATGTTAATTCATATAATATATATTTTTTTAATTTTAGAATAGTTTTTAAAAACATTTAAGTTATAGACTTGTATTTCCTAAACCCCCTGTGTTTTATATAAATTGGGATAATATATATAACAAACTTAAAATATAAAAAAGTATTAAATTTAGTATTAAATTATTTTTTCTTGAAAATTATTTTTAAAACCTTTTATTTTACATGGTATATTTTAAAACATTTGCCAACACATAATGGAGGCTTTTTTTCACAGACACCGCATTATTAGCGTGTTTCCTCACGTTTCATTTAGAACAAACACGACAAGGTTTTGCTGGCATTTTCTTCACTTCACTTTGCGGTATAGCAGCTAAGTAATCAAGTTTGTTGTTGTTGACTGGAGGAATCAATGTTTCTTCGTTTAAGTGCTAACCGAATAAATTAGTAACAATTATTTCCTGCAATTTAAGCTTGGAGATTGCTTTATCTGTTCTATACTTGCAGTTAAGACAGTAAACATTAAATACAAATATATCGAAAATATGAATAGCTATTTTTTATACCATCTAGTGGTTTTTCTTAAACAGTCAAAAAAAGATACCATTTGATCAGCTCGATCAACTTCTGACATGCCTTTATTATAATCTCAAAATATATTGGATTTAAGTTTCTTTACACCTCTTTTGTTCGTCACTTTAACCATCGCTAATAAATGAATGTTGCTAATCATTAGAACGCCTCTTATATTTTGCCATTTAGCCACAATCTCAACTTCTCTACTTCGGCTCACGATGCCTCCCATTTTTAATTTAACTGCTGTACAATCTTTTGGATTCGATTTACAATCACCTCTTAATGTACCACATATATATGTTTTTCTGTTAACATATGTTTTAATAATTCAAAGAAATTATAGAAGTTGTCAGTATACAAGTGATAGCTTTTTCCTAGAAAATTCTCTATTAAATCTAAAACAATAGCTCCCATTTGACCCAACAAGTGCTCATTGAGAGTTGCCTCTCCCGAATAAATTTTTACTTTTATTACAACACTATCAGATTCCCAAAGTTCATACAATTTGACCCCATACTTATGCTTTTTCTTTTTATTGTTTTGCCTGAATATGAGACGTCCCCTCCAAAGCATCATCGATTCATCAATTGAAATATTTTTATCA